AGGACTGTCTGGTCCTGTGTTAGATGTAAGGAACTCTTCTCTCTCACCTCTGCAGCCATTTATGGTAGACAAATATAGGTTGATGCATATTTTTGGAAGTGAAGCTCTTGGACCAACAATTACACATCTTTCTTCTGAAAATTAGGCCATCATTTTCATTTGACAGAGGACATATAAAAGAGCAAAACTAAACATGTCTCCAAGAACTGAGCTGACAGAACCAAAAGGAAATGTTAGAGATGTTTTCTAAGTTCACGTGAGTAGAAAGCTCGAAGCTTAGAAGTCTCCTGGGTGGGAGGCGGAGGTTGCAGTGAGCCAAGACCGTGCCATTGCACTCCAGCCTGGGTGACAAGACTCCATCTCAAAAAAAAAAAAAAAGAGGTCTCGTAGGTGAATTGTCCCTGCTAAAGCTGAGTGACAGGTGCAGGGAGGTTCAGTGCACTGTCTTCTGCACTTTTGTGTGTTTGACATTCTCCAAGATACATTGTTTTAAGTCCATGGAAAACAGTATCTGTTTTGTAAAAGTAAAATAGAAATATAAAAAGCCAGAAATATTTCTGAAAGATTTGGGGCAGTTTTTGTTAGAGATAATAATATAAGTCAGGAAGGTGCCTCTTAATCTCTCAGCTAACAAGGTAGGAAATTTGTACCTAGGTTAAGAAGTTGTCCTGCCCTTCAGCTCTTGTACATTAAATCATTCCATTACCCAACACCCAACATAGAGCCATTTTTTTTCACGTACATCCTCCAGGAACACATTTCTTTGTATGTACACAACATAAGAATAGCTGACCAGCATATGAGAGATCTGCAAACATTTATTGCATCTTGCTTATATGCCAGACACTGATGATGGAAGCCATTGACTTTAAAGAGCTGACATCCTAGGGAGGGAGACAGACCTGTGCAGTGTGATTAGTAAAACAATGGAACTCTAATTAAGGCACACAGCCAGCCTGGAGAGAGAGTGCTATGAATTCTGGCTTTGTAGATAGGGGAAGTATCTGCAAAGGTCTCCTGGTGGGACCTCGGGGATGAGTGGGAGGGTGGCTGGGAGTGCCCTTGTAGGCGGCTGCTGAGGGAAGCGCCCAGAGGCAGTGGCTGAGCCCAGGTGGTGATGCCAGGCCTGGTTTGCTGATTCTGGACCTAGTCAACTGTGCCAGGAACTAAAGTCGAAGAGTCTGGGCAGGAAAGACTTTGTGGGTCAGGCTAAGGAATTTGAACTTTATCTTGGGACCCATCATTAGTGATTCTAAGCAGGAGAGCAGTGTGTTCAGAATTACTCTGAATTCTGATTTTAAATAGTGGCTTGACCTCGTTTGTTTTTCTCTTCCTGTCCTCAAGCTTACTTGTCAGTTATGATATTTTTAGTTACAAGTCACAGAAAACTCAACTCAGTGGCTTGTACCCAACATGCATGAACCTTGAAGACATTGTGCTAAGTGAAATAAGCCAGTTATAAAAGGACAAACACTGCATAATTCCACTTCCATGTGGTATCTACAGGAGTCAAATTCATGCAGACAGAAAGTAGAATGGGGGTTGTCAGGGGCTGGAAGAGGGGGAGTAGGGTTGATGTTTAGTGAGTACGGAGTTTCAGCTTTACAAGATAAAGAGTTCTGGAGATGGATGGGTGATGGTTGTACCACAATGGGAATGTATTTAGCAACACTGAGCTGTATACCTAAAATCAAAAATATCCTCAAAATGGCTTAAACCAAATGGAAAATATTTCATAAGAAATATATAGAGAAGCTTTGGGACTGGTTAATTTAGGGTTCAACAGTTTCCAAAAGAAGCTAGGTGGCTATGCCTTCTCACTCTGCATCAGCCACTTCAGCCCCTTGCAAGACAACTGCCCCACTCCGAAATTACCTTGCAAAGCAACATCCAGGAAAAGAGACCATCCCTCTCTAAGTCCATTTTCAATTGCTTTTAACAGAATACCTGAAAAGGAATTTATTTCTTACAGTTTTGGAGGCTGAAAAGTCCAAGGTTGAAGGGCTGGATCTTGTGAGGGCCTTCCTGAGGGTGGGGACTTTCTGTGGAGTCCTGCGGTGGCACAGGGTAGCACATGGCATCACACAGTGGCAGGGCTGCACATGCCAGCTCAGCACCCTGTTCCTCTTGTTGTAAAACCACCAGAACTCATTATCCTATTAGTCCATGAATAGATTAATCCTTTCATGAGAGCAGAGCCCTCACACTCTAGTCACCTCTTCATAGCCCCACCTCTCAGTAATAGGGATTAAGTTTCAACATGAGTTTCAGAGCAGACAAATACCTAACCCATAGCACTCCCTGTGTCTCTTTAAGAACAAGAAACACTTCCAGAATCAGTGTTCAGCATCTTGGCATGAATGTCTAGCAGCCATTCCACATGCAGCCTGACTGGAGCCCCACTCCTGATGCCCCTTGCAGCTCTTCCCACCATCTCCTCACTCCCAGGCAACAGTGGCTCCTATTTCTCCAGACTCTTCCTTTACTCAGGCTAAATACCTTGGCATCACCTTGGCCCCTGTCACACCCCACATCCATTGGCAGATTCTTTTCGCTCTGCCTTCCACATGTGCCCAGGCTCCGGCTACTTTTCACCACTGTGACTCAGCCTGAGCCACCACCATCTCCCACCTGGATTATTGTCATCGATTCCTACCTGGTCTCCCTGTTTCTGCCCTTGGTCACATATCCATTCAGTGAGCAAATACTGACCATGGACCTCACATGTGGCAGGCATCGCTCTGGGTGCTGGCAGCTCTACAGTGAACAAAACAAAACCCCTGCCCTCCTGGAGCCTTCATTCGGTTCTCAAAACAGCAGTCAGATCGTGTCCCTCCTTTGACCAGCATCCCACTCAGAATAAAAGCCAGATTCCTTAGGAGACCTGCATGATGGTGCCTCTTTGTTCCTTGAGTAAGGACGAACGCACGCCCATCTCAGGGCTTTCACATTTGTTTTTCCTGCTCCCTAGAATCCTGTCCCCACCCCTGTAGCCTCAGGCCTTCCTCTTTCATTTTCTTCAAGTCTCTTGATGTGGAATTTGACGGAAAGATGGCAATCAGTTGGCCTGAACAACTGGCAGTGGAGTGGCCATTTACAGAGAGGGAGCTTCCTGAGGGAGGGAGCTTGTGGGGGCAGGGCACCAGGAGTTGGGTTTTTGACTTGCTACACCTCCCATGCCGATTTAGACATTCAGGTGGGTCGTGCAGCACCTGTGGACGAATCTGAGGCTCTGAGTGACAGATTTAGGGGTCGCCAGTATATACGCAGGTTTACGCTCAGTGTCACAGGAAGCACGTGCACAGAAGAGCTGCATATTGCAGTGATTTCAGTTAGGGATACAAGGAGGAACCAGCAAAGGAGACTGAGGAAGAGCAGCCAGCGAGCTAGAGAAGAATCAGGAGATGCACTTCTCCAAAGCCCAGTACAGGGACATGCAGAGAGGGAGCGAGGGAGTGCCTGCAGCAGGTGCTGCTGATAGCTCTCCCCGCCCAGCCTCAGCTGTCTCACTCCCAGATACAGACAGCCGGGCTCTTTGAGAAATGCGTCCAGTATGCAGGGGTAATGGACCTTTCGTACCAACTTCAACTAGTTCATGTTCCTTGAATGCTGAGACATCATAAAAAATATAATTTGGTCTCTGTTCCTGGTTCCTGACATAGAGCTTCCAAAACCCCTGTAATTTCCTGAACTGTAGGGGTTCAGGGGGCATCTTTTGTTCTAATATGGTGACTCTTGGTGGGGACCTGTCACCAGAAAGATCAAGCTATGATGAGAGGGTTGGACTTTCAGCCCCACCCTTCATCCTCCAGGGAGGGAAAGGGGCTGGAAATGGAGTTAGTAATTGATCATACCTACACGGTGAAACTCCATAAAAATCCCTAAAAGATGGCGTTCAGAGAACTTTTCATTTTGGCAAACACATCCACTTTCTGGGAGCATGGTGTACCCCAGCACAGTGGGGACAGACAGTCCTGTGCTCAGGACCCTCCCAGACCTCACCCTGTGTGCCTCTTCACCTGGCCGTTCACTTGTGTCTATCATATCCTGGAATAAACTGGTAAACGTAAGTAAATGTTGCCCTGAGCTCTATGAGCCATTATGACAAATTATCAAATCTGAAGAGGGGCTTGTAGGAACCCTCCATTTGTAGCCCAGTCGGACAGCAGTTGTAGGCAACCTGCAGACCCTCTGCTTGCAATTGGTGTCTGAAGTTGCAGGGCAGTATCTGGACTGAGTTCGGAACTAGGGGGCCTTGTGCTCATCAGAGTAGGTAGTGTTCAAATTGAGTTAAATTGTAGAACACCCAGTTGGTGTCAACAGAGAACTGGACAGTTGCTTGGTGTGAAAAAGCTACACTTCTCTTCACAAACCACACTTCATGAGCCAGGGCCATTCCAGCAAACCTGCTTCTTTGACACCAACTAATGAGGAAAACACTTTTTCCTGTTAAGCCTTGTATACTCCCAACACTTCTGACAGTAGCCACAAGTGTACCTTTGCTACTGGGTGAAGATACCTTTGCTACTTGAGTGGAGATTCCATTTTCCCCCCCACTCTTCTCTCTTTAAAACTTCTGGGAAACCATCCATCGTTTGGCCTCATCTGAAGCATAGGCAGCTCAGACAGTAAATCTACCTCTTCCCGTTCACCTGTAGCACCTAAGGTAGTGCTTGGAGCTGCCTGTAGGATAGTGAATACACAGGCTCCAACATATGGGTGAGCACATTTGCTGTTGCCTGTGAGTGTGTGTGTCACATATCCTGAGCTTATGTTAAAAATCAGGGAAAGAGAGTAACTTCTCTCCACTTAGCAGTTTCTGTATTTTAATGCAGCCTGAATTCAAAGTAATAATGTTCCAAACTTATTAAACTGAGATTTTATGTGGGAGAGAATTTGGTCTCTGAGTGGGGGAAGGGTATAAGGCTGAGGGAAGCACATGCTGACTTTTGAGAATTACTAAAGTGAATGCTCCTTTTTTTACTTCAATTTTTCTGCAGGGGTCGGCACCAGGAATTATTATAGAAAGATCGGCTACAGATTACAAGGCCCGTACATGGTGAAGATGCTGAAGTAATGGCCACACCAGTCCACCTTCCTGCAGTATCCTCCCTGGCAGAACACGGAGACTCAGGATTTCTTAAATACTCAACAGAGAGGCTGAGCAGAGCAAATAGGGGCCTTCACCCTCATCCCGCAGCTGCAGAGACCTTCAAGGCCACGGCTGGTCATCTGCCGACCACACCCCAGATCCGTCCTCTCCTGTGTGCACCCAAAAAAAATCATTGCATTTTTGAGGCTTAAATCATCTATCCAGTTTCTAAATTTTGCATGAGGCCTGCAGGTGGCCTATTTTGACTCAGACGGTGACAAAAGCAAATTAATTCATTTGGACACCATAACTCATGAAATAAAACTGATTGTCATTCGAGGAGCAAACTTAGGAGTAGGTTATTTATATACCCTAGGGACAGAAAGTCAGGTTGAAACAGGAAAACCACCAGACTCTGATCTCAGGCCTCTAACGACATGCGCATTGGAGCGCAAGTTAGGAAAATGAGCTTTTGTTTTCATGGAAATCATTCTGATTACAGTGCCGATGTTTAGAAATAGCAGTGTGACGGGGAAAGACGAATTGCAGTTGTGGGGGAGTGAGCTGGCAGCAGCCGGCCACCAGCCTCTCCCAGGCGGGAGTCCACCATCCGAGACGGCAATGACAAAGAGCTTCATTTCATGTTCTTTGTTGTCTCGACTTCCCACCCTCTTGGCAACTACAGAACAGTGTGGGCAGCCACAAGTGTGGTCCCCAGAGAGCGTCTGGCTTTCCTGTTTGTCTATCCTGAGCGGGTAGAGTCTGAGATTGTGTGCCCCTAAATCAAGATTTGCTTCCACAGAAGCCATTACTTGCAATTTTTTTTTTTTTTTGATAGAGTCTCGCCCTGTCACCCAAGCTGGAGTGCAGTGGTGTGATCTCACTGCATCCTCAGCCTCCCAAGTAGCTGGGATTACAGGCACCCGCCACTGCACCTGGCTAATTTTTCTATTTTTAGTAGAGATGGGGTTTCACCATATTGGTCAGGCTGGTCTCGAACTCCTGACCTCAGGTGATCCATCCACCTCGGCCTCCCTAAATGCTGGGATTACAGGCATGAGCCACTGCACCCAGCCTTTAATTTTTTAAGGTGGATTTTGGTTGTTATAAATGGAGAAAGGTAAGAGTTCAAGTTCAACTTGTGTGAAAGCAAAACAATGGAAAACAGGATTGGCTTCTTCAAAGGCTCCTCTTGTAGAACTACCTTTTTGAGATTTCGAGGTAATCTACTTTGGAGACTCTGCCTGGAGAGGGTCAGTTCCTAAGTTAAGAGCATTGCTTAACCTTGGCTCCTGTGGCATTTTACAAAGGTTTAAAGGAATTGATTCCTCTGAAAGGGCCTGAAAATAAAAAGTCCTTAACATACAAAGAAGAGTCATGTGGTTTTTTTTTTTTCTCTCCCTGTAAATGCAGTGACATTTGCCACAAATGTGCAGGTTTCAGTTTCCAACCTATGGCACTGTTCATTTCCTCCTGGGTGCTGTTTGCCATTTCATTAAACTGCTACGAGGCAAATGGCAGTGGCTTTGTTATGGGCTCACTGTGGAACTACCATGGCTTTCCATGAGTGTCGTTTAGGGACTTAGCTACTTCTCAATTATGCTTTTTTACCCTATAAAAATAAAACTAATAAAGCATACTCCCGCTGGCTGTCAGAGCTGCGTTGCTGGAGACAGAACCAGCTGCACAGCCCTGGAGCACAAAGTCTGCGGGCCTCGACCTTCTCATCTGTGCTAGGTGCCCAAATGGATCAACACACATAACTTACAAGAAGGGCTTTTGTGAAATGGTAAAAAGGCCTGCACATGGAAAGTTCACTTCAAAAGATGACAATTTAGGGAATTTGAAACGAAATGACAGGAACTTGCACCTTTCTGATGGCTGTCAGCCTTCGCTCAGGATTCACGAGAATCCCTCTTTCTAGCTCATCCCTGGCCTTCCTTGCTGTATCTTGTGGCCTGTGCAAAATGGCAGCAGTTGGGGAGCTTCCCCCGGGTGTCAGGGCTCCTGCCTCCTCCCTCTGCCACCAGAAGCTTCCGCTTCTCTTGTGACTGCCAGGGCTTGTTCCGGCATGGATGGTGCTTGGCGCCTCCACTGTCCGGCTGGTCTGGCTGCTCTGAGGCCTGTGGGGCCACTTCATAAGAAAGCTCAGTTGGGCACGATCCTGCTGGCCTCGGTGTGAAACCATCACAGCTGCAGCCTGATCCCACCTGAACGGAAGGACTCCTTAGCAACCACCTCCAACCCAGAAAGCTCTGCATTTAGCTCCACTTCTGGGACATCACCTGAAGAGTTTTTTTTCTTCTTCTTTTTTTAATTCAAGTCATATCAAAAACAGACTAAAATAAATTTGAACAGAAAATGAGATTTTTAAAATATATTATCACCAAGCGAAAGGGCCTGGTAAAACTCATTGTTCCATTTGGGAACAAGCAAACCCCTTTTCCATTTTCCATCTCTGCAGACCCAAAAGTACCACAAAGACAACTCAAAAACCAACGCCTGTTCCCCTAAAACGTCTTTCAGATTGCAAATTTTCATTGCCAGTGGGTTTTTCACTTTTTTGTTTTCAAGATTATCACATTGAAAACAGAAAATCTTGTTCCTGAAGAACTCACAGACCCCTGAGTTTACAAAGGAAAAAAAAAAAAAAAAAAAAAAGCACAAGATCTGGCATCTGAGAACCTGGTTTCCTCATTAACCATGAAGCTTTGAGCAAGGCCCCTCCCTGTTTCTGAGCTACAATTTCCCTATTTGTGTGTCGCTCGGGGCAAGCGTAGGAATCAGATGTGGCATTTGAGAGACACTGCATAAACCAGGACATACACCGATAGTTGTTGCTGCCCCCAGTGAAGTGACTTCTCTGCTGATGTGTAACCTTGGGCAAGTCAACCCTGCAAAGTTTCATCTGTAAAATGGGAGTGAGGTGTAGGCAGGGTTCTTAGAACAGGAAGCGTACTATAGAAGCACTAGCTCTGATTACTAATACCTAACAAGTGCAATCATCCGCCCATTTTTTTCTTCAATGAGGGAGCTTCTCTGCTGACAATAGAATTTCTGATTCTTTGCTACAATCTAAGTTTTTCTTAGAAGCCCATGTCAGAAGAATAGTATCTCTAATGCTCTAAGACCCTATCTCCTTCTCCTCTGGTCTATTTTATTCACACAAGTCTAGGGTTGCACATTGTCAAATCCATTCCTTGAGGGCCAAGATCCTAGCTGAGATTGCAACAGCAAAAAGCATTTTGAAATGCTGCTGTCTTTGGAGTGGCTTCCTGGAAAGGTGTCCAGTATCAGCACGCATTGCCGATCCCTGTGTGAGCTGGTGGCTGTGTCCACCTAGGGAGTCTGGCAGCCATTTGTGGCAGGGGTTGGGACGGGGAGGGGACACCTTTCTATATATTGGAGTTGTGTACACCAGCAATACGTTTGTGTTTCGTTCTGTGAAGGCATTTCCAAAAATGATGTTTCAAGAAACCTATTTTAATGTAGACAAATGCATGCCTGTGAAAAAGTTGCCACTCGGCTGCTTTTCTCTATCCTGCCTTCATTGCCGTTACCCAGATGTGCAGCTTTATCTCCTTTGTCTCTACACGCCTGATTCCCACCTTGTCCACCTGGAAAATGTCTCATCATTCAGGGGAACAAACGACTATTTGTTGAGCCTTCACCAGGCCCTGGACTCTGCCTCAGGTCCTTTCACCTTCTTCGTCTTGGGAAATCCCTCCAATCCCCGCCGTCCTCAAGGTTAATAAGGTAAGATGAAGAGTCTCCACTACTTTTTTTTTGTTTTTGAAACAGGATCTCACTCCGTTGTCCAGGCTGGAGTGCAGTGGCGTAGTCATGGCTCACTGTAGCCGTGCAAACTCCCAGGCCCAAGCACTCCTCCCATTTCAGTCTCTCAAGTAGCTGGGACTACAGGCATGCACCACTACACCCAGCTAATTTTTTTATTTTTTATAGAGGCGGGAGGGGTCTCGCCGTGTTGCCCAGGCTGGTCTTGAACTTCTGGGCTCAAGCGATCCTTCCTCCTCAGCCTCCCAAAGTGTTGGGATTACAGGCGTGAGCCACCGCGTCTGACCTTGTCTCCATTACTTAAGTAAGGAAGGCAGGCTGGTGTCTTCACCTCTGAGCCTGGCATCACAGGAAGCCACTGTGGCACCCAGGTGCAGTCACAGTGCCATCACCCAAATGTCTGGGGATCGCGTATACTATACTCTGAATGGGACCCTGGCGTGGCCCCGTGCAGCGGCCCTGGTCTCAAGCCACTAAATACTAAGATGCAGGCTTCGAGACCGAGTCAGTGACTCAGCCCTCCCCACCCCACCCAGCCCCACTCTTCCTCTTTTAGAGGAAAGCCTTGCCAGTCAGCTTATGTTAGACCTGGGCACCGAGCCTGTGCCTTCAGATGTGAATTTCAGCCTCACGGCAGCCTGTGAGAGAAGCACTATTATCAGCATCCCAGCAGTTCCAACTGGCGGGAGTGGAAGTGGATTGATTTCCTTAAGAGATAATGCAAAGTACAGAAAGAGTCTGCTCTTTTCATTTAAATGAAAATAGCGCTTGGGGGCTCTAAAACTTATATATGCTCATTATAACAAATGGAAATGAGACAGAAAAGCACAAAATAACCTGAAATCCCACCATCAGTGCCAGCCGTGGCTAACATTGTGATGAATGTCCTTCCAGCCACCTCTCTGCACACACACACACACACACACACAGACACACACAGACACGCAATCAGTTTTACATAAAAGAGTCATATTGTACATGTTGCTTCTTTTTTACTCTAAAAGATGTAAAGTAAGCGTCTTTCCATTTCAATATGGATCTACTTGAATTTTTTTTTTTTTTTTTTTTTTTTTTTGCTTTTGAGACAAGGTCTCCCTCTGTCACCCAAGCTGGAGTGCAGTGGTACTATCTCGGCTCACTGCAACCTCCAACTTTTGGGTTCATATGATCCTCCTGCCTCAGCCTCCCAAGTAGCTGGAACTACAGGTGCACACCATCACACCCAGCTGATTTATTTTTTTGTAGAGCCAAGGTCTCCCTGTGTAGCCCATGCTGGTTCTCAAACCCCTGGCTCAAGCTACTCCATCCTTTGCAGTGAGTACCTAGTGGTCCCCTGTCTGCAGATGCCCGGTTGATTTCAGCGGGCCTTTCTAATCTCACACTCTCATCATCACAGTACCTAGAAGCACCAATCTGTTGACTCAATACCAAGATTTACTTCTTTATTTTCTACAAACACTCACTCATTCATGGCTGGCCCCCTTTGTGCCCCCACCCCCCGCCACTTTGGTTGTCCTGCCACCAAGCCTTTCAGTCCTTCACTCACAATGGG